TTTAGCAGTTCTCATGAAAAATAATAATATAGCATGGAAGGCAATGGGGGAAAATAACTGTAATGTTGGTCAGAATTAGAAAAACATCCATTTTTTTTAACATCAAGTTGCAATTGGGCTCCTGGGCCATCTTTACATCACCATCAAGGGGTGGGAAACTATGCTCGCACAATTGGATCGAACACTACTCAACGCATACCCGATGCCCAGCACCTTGCAGAGAAGCTGCCAGGCTGAGCTTTTGATTCAATCCTAATGGGCAGTTCTATCTATCCCGTGAATGACCCCCTTTTGGGTTAAGTGCTTAGTTATGATTATAATATCCATCAACAAACATGCAGACCTGCAACACCCTGATGCACTCCCCGGCGACGTCTAAACCGAGTCCCATCTTTAAAAAACTGACAGTGACTTTTCAACAGAACTATAAACTTACTGTACCAACTTTTACCCACATGAATTTAGCATTTATTTTTAAATAATAATTACCCATAATTACTAAATGCCCCCAAATTACTGAGATTTTAAAAATGACGAGTGTGCCAAATTTGTTCGAGAGAGATAGATAAAAAATCCTCCAGACAAAGGATCTATGGATCTAAACATACAACTGCCCACTCAGTGAGCGGTTTACCTTGCAGCTGGTATCCATCATGGCAGGTATAGGAAGCAGTGAGCCAAATGAGTTGGCTGGTTGTGCTGTGGGGTGTTTAAATCGCACCAATGTGTGGGCTGTTGGGGTAGGTGGCCCACATGATACAGGAGTACAAGTGGAGCTTCGTAACTCCATCTGCCATTTGCTTCACAGGTGAGAACACTTGTTCCCAAAAAAGCATCATTTTGAATGAAAAAATGAAGAGAAAGCACAGTAGTAAATTTCATTTGCAAATATTAATTTACAGCAAAGCAGCAACATTGTGAAAAGAAACCTTTTTGCCAAACTGAATGTTGCAAATGAACATCCTTTGATGTTGGTGAGGGGCTCTTGATTTAGGAATTGGATCTGTGCTCCAGTTCCCCAAATTAAGCCTGAATACCTTCCACATCCCCCCCCCCAGGGCGCTGTATAATCCTCCGGGTTTAGCGCTTCCCCCTTGATTTTAATAATAATGCAAAAAGAACAACCATATTTAAAAGTTTTTAGAGGGTTCTATAGAGAACAGACAAGTTGTGTAGTGAAATCATGCATTAGCTGTCAAATGTGTAACACATAATTAGTTTTTTTTTTTATAAATTTTAGTAATGTATTAGAAATGAATTTTTAAATAATGTAGACTACAACTACAAAGAATAAGAGAACCATACATTACACACAAGGATGGTGGGCTGAAACCTAAAAAAAAACATGTAATTTTATCAGATAAGCTAAAATAGGGCTCCAAGGCAACAAGATGGTAATGAAGAAAGACTGAAAATCCTTTTGTTAGGAGACAAAAACTAATAATAATTAAAAACAGCAGACCTTTAATTTTTAAGAGCAATCATTGGACTTTTTTTTTATATGAGGGGTAAAAAAAATTGCTCCTTTTTTTCGACATCACGGGATGTTTTTTTAAGATGATAAAAATTTTAGGAAAAGTGGAATGCTATGATCTTTTCTCTCCCTACCTGGTCAGGCCTTTTTTGCACTTAATTGCACAACCCCCTTTCCCCAAGAAAAAATGGAAAGCAATGCTGAAATGGCACATATATTTAAAAACCTGAAAGTCTTGGTTTTTTTAAAAAAAATCAAACCTTGAAGGCAGATGAATTGCAAACCCAGGTCCAATGAAACATCGTTTTTCACTAAAAAAGAAATTGAAGATAAGACTTGGCCAAAGAAATCCAGGTTGTAACCTAAAAAATGACACCTACAACAACCAAATAAAAAAAAATTACGAGTGGTTTTAGCAGGAAACCAAAAAAGGAACACTCCAAATATGGTAAAGTTTAGACATTTCTTTGGGAAAGGACCCTAACAAACAGAAGACGCTCTGAAAGGGGGTCGGAGCAGCTGGTGATGCCATACGTCAGCTACACAAAATACTGCGGCAAAACAACAAAAGACACACTAGAGAATTCCTCGTACAACCCCAGCATTAATTCAAGAACCCTTAGCTACCACCTCAGGCAAGAAAGGGCCCCTCCCTTTCAAAAAAATTGACATACACCAGCAACCAGAAGTTAAGGCAAGAAATATTATTCTGTAACTTCATACTATAAAATTTTATTTAAATTTGAAAATCCTAAATCCCAAATACAATCTCGCCTGGAACAAGATACAAGGTGCATTCAGGCCACAACAAGCCAAGCCGCTGAAAAAGACAGCATGCGAGTGTATATACAGCCCCCGTTTACATCAGCATTGCCATCTCTGCAACTACAGATACATACACTACACTTTTTTTTTTTTTAAAAAAAAGACTAAAAATATTTGTTTGCCACTCTTGGGGGGCTAAAGGAAAGTAACCCTATTTTTCCATATCTTAGAGGTTTTTTTCAAAGCAGAGAAATTGGGGAAAATAAAAGAAAGGTAGAGAGTGCAAAAGGGAAAAAATGAAAATGGGGGAAGGGACGTAAGAAATTTTAAAAGAAAAAAGAAAAAATTTTGATGAGTTAAACAAGTTAAAAAGCCTTAAAGGGGAAAAAAAGGGGTTTTTCAATTAAAAAAAAGAGTTTGGGGATGTGTAGATGGGGAGATGGAGGGGAATTTGGGGAGATGGGAAGAATACGTACCCTTTTAGGAAAATCTTTCATGTTTACGAAGAAAGGGAGGCGGTAATTTCATTCACTGACCAGGGGGTTAACCACTTTTTTGGGGGGAAAAGAGCAATATAAGGTGGGGGGGGTGCGTGAGGCCCTTACATAGAATGAAAGGGGGAAAAACAGCTGGAACGAAAGGGATCCTGACGAAATTTAAAAGCAGGGGGGGATACAGTGGGGGAGTGGTTGGGATTTTTTTTTAATAAATGTATGAAAAAAGGGAAGGTACCTAGGGAATTTGGGAGGGGAGCGTGGGATAGTCCCCCTTTTTAATTAAAAGGAAAGGGGACAAAAGAAATTGTAAAAATTATAGAGGAATTAGTTTACTGAGTATACCAGGAAAAGTGTATGGTAGGGTTATTATTGAAAGAATTAGAGGTAAGACAGAATGTAGGATTGTGGATGAGCAAGGAGGTTTTAGAGTGGGTAGGGGATGTGTAGATCAAGTGTTTACATTGAAGCATATATGTGAACAGTATCTAGATAAAGGAAGGGAAGTTTTTATTGCATTTATGGATTTAGAAAAGGCATATGATAGAGTGGATAGGAGAGCAATTTGGCAGATGTTGCAAGTATATGGAATAGGTGGTAAGTTACTAAATGCTGTAAAGAGTTTTTATGAGGATAGTGAGGCTCAGGTTAGGGTGTGTAGAAGAGAGGGAGAATACTTCCCGGTAAAAGTAGGTCTTAGACAGGGATGTGTAACGTCATGGTTGTTTTAATATATTTATAGATGGGTTTGTAAAAGAAGTAAATGCTAGGGTGTTCAGGAGAGGGGTGGGATTAAATTATGGGGAATCAAATACAAAATGGGAAGTGACACAGTTACTTTTTGCTGATGATACTGTGCTTATGGGCAATTCTAAAGAAAAATTGCAGAGGTTAGTGGACGAATTTGGGAGTGGTGTGTAAAGTAGAAAGTTGAAAGTGAACATAGAAAAGAGTAAGGTGATGAGGGTATCAAATGATTTAGATAAAAAAAAATTGGATATCAAATTGGGGAAGAGGAGTATGGAAGAAGTGAACGTTTTCAGATATTTGGGAGTTGACATATCAGCGGATGGATTTATGAAGGATGAGGTTAATCATAGAACTGATGAGGGAAAAAAGGTGAGTGGTACGTTGAGGTATATGTGGAGACAAAGAATGTTATCTATGGAGGCAAAGAAGGGAATGTTTGAAAGTATAGTGGTACCAACACTCTTATATGGGTGTGAAGCTTGGGTTGTAAATGCTGCAGCAAGGAGGCAGTGGAGATGTCCTGTCTAAGGGCAATGTGTGGTGTAAATATTATGCAGAAAATTCGGAGTGTGGAAATTAGGAGAAGGTGTGGAGTTAATAAAAGTATTAGTCAGAGGGCTGAAGAGGGGTTGTTGAGGTGGTTTGCTCATTTAGAGAGAATGGATCAAAGTAGACTGACATGGAGAGCATATAAATCTGTAGAGGAAGGAAGGCGGGGTATGGGTCATCCTCGAAAGGGTTGGAGGGAGGGGGTAAAGGAGGTTGTGTGGGCGAGGGGCTTGGATTTCCAGCAAGCGTGTGTGAGCATGTTAGATAGGAGTGGAGACGAATGGTATTTGGGACCTGACGATCTGTTGGAGTGTGAGCAGGGTAATATTTAGTGAAGGGATTCAGGGAAACCGGTTATTTTTATAGCCAGACTTAAGTTCTGGAAATGGGAAGCACAATGCCTGCACTTTAAAGGAGGGGTTTGGGATATTGGCAGTTTAGAGGGATATGTTGTGTTTCTTCATCCATATGTATGTCTAAACTGTTGTATTCTGAGCACCTCGGGAAAAACAGTGATTATGTGTGAGTGAGCTGAAAGTGTTGAATGATGATGAAAGTATTTTCTTTTTGGGGATTTTCTTTCTTTTTGGGTCACCCTGCCTCTGTGGGAGATGGCCAACTTGTTAAAAAAAATGCAGTTTTCAAAAACAAGACTACCGTTTTGATCAACAGCCAATTGTATATAATAATGAATAGATATGAGAAAAAATGCATACTGTAGATGGTTTACAGCACCAACAGGAAAAAATGAGGAATAACAACTAAATAGTAAAAAAAAAAAAAAAAAGTCTAAAAAAGAATATTAAAAGCATCCATTCAGAAAAAATGAATGAATAAGATTCATTAGTAAATATGTCCTACAGTACATCCACTGGAAACCTGAACAACCATCCGACCAATCAAACACATGCGATGGGACACCACAAACATAGCTCAGCTCCTGTAACGACAAATACTTAATCACTCACATTAAGTTCATAGCCTTCCCTGCAGGAGTAGTTAGCAGTGGCTCCGTAGAGGAAATCATCACCCTGGATGATCGCATAGTCTGGGAGATGAGGGGAGCCACAAGACACTCTCCTGCAGCGGGGTGGGCCATTTGACCACACTCCTTCTGTTGTGCATATGCCAGTAGTTGGTCCCTCAGCCTGATAGCCTTCAACACAGTCCCACTTCACTTCATCGTCCACATGGTACACTTTTAAGAGAGATAAAAACCTAGTATGTACTCCACAATGCCTTATAATAATAATGATAGCATGATAGATACACCCTCAATTTTGCTGGCAGAAAATTGCAGTCAAGAAAATAAATATTTAGCACCATCAGAAGAATTGCCAGTTTCTGTATTACAAGAGTAACATAAGCATGAATACAAAAATGTACATACATATACACACAGACACATGCAACCACAAGGGTGCTCACATTTTTCAACAATTCTTTCTGAAAACTTTCTTCCCTGTTTCTTGCCTTTTGCTGCTGTCTTTTTACTTTTCGTTATGGTCTTCTTGCCCTTTGTCTTGTAAAACGATGTAAGTGGTTGCAACATCTCTACTTCCTCTTCCTCCCACTCCTCAGAAGATTTTTCACCATTATCTAGCAGAATAACAAAAACTTCATTCTTTCAGAAAATAAAAGAAAGTTCTCAGAACAATGTTCCATGATAAAGAATACAATGCTCCCTTTAGTATATTAAGTGCCTGCATTCTGAAGAAGGGGTGGGAATGTTGCAGTCAGAAGGTAATCCGATTGCGATGTCAGCACACTTCTGGAAAGACGGCAATTGTGTTAATGATTAAGAAAGCGCTTTCTTCTTTGGTTCACCCTGCCTTGGCAGAAGACAGCCATTGAGGTAAAAACTGCTATCTCCTGCCAAGGAAGAGTAACCCAAACAAACATTTTCACCATCATGCAATCACCATCTTCCCAGTAGTGTGCTGACATCACAGTCAGATTATCCTCTGACTGCAACATCTCCTACCCTACTTTAGTGTGTAGGCACTGCCATTCCCACCTCCAGGACAACAGTCTGGCTAACCAGTTTCTCTGAATCCCTTCATAAAAGTCACCTTGCTCACACTCCAACAGCACATTCATTAAAAAAACTCCCTCTCCATAATAGTATATGTAAATAAATTTAATATTCAGTATACATGTATTTATAAAAACTTCATTTACTTTACCACTGATTCCTTTGAACCAATATACATATCAGGAGTCAGTGGCTGCTAAAAGCAACAACCCTCTGGCAATTAACCAGGAGCCCTGGCCTCAGACAGGGCTGCGAGGATAGAAAAATCCTCAAAACCTACCAGGTGCAAAGGCACAGATGGAACTAAATGAAGCTACAAGAGGGATACTGACCTCGCAGAATTCGACCATGTGGGGGTGCTTCAGGCTGAGGGCAGTAGATGGGATCACAGAGAGGTGCCTCGTTGCTCCACCTACCAGATTGCAAACACGTGCTCCATTCATTGCCCAGCAGACGGTAACCACGTTCACAAACAAAGGTTACCTGGAAGGGCAGGGAAGAACAGAGTGGGGGCTGACTAAACTGCCACAGGTATACTAAACTATATGTCAGTGTTAGTACATGTCAAGCTCATAAGAATAATAGGAAAGGTAGACACCTTGGTAAAAGACTGACTAAGAAACTCAAAATATCATAACCAAGCTGCAGGATGACATACATAAACTGAAGGAATTGTCCAATAAGTTTTTATTTGAACTAAACTAAAACAAGTGAAGACTGGACAGAAAGAGGCGTCTAAGAGTAAAGTGTAACCCTTTAATTCGTGAATTAGGTTCATGGGAGTGACATGAATCCTGAAAATGCAGATAATAGAAAATTAAACATTTTTTTTTTTTTCAACAAGTCTGCCTTCTCCCACTTAGGCAGGGTGACCCATAAAGAAAATTCCCAAAACAAAAATACTTTCATCATCATTCAACACTTTCACCTCACTCACACATAATCACTGTTTTTGCAGAGGTGCTCAGATACAACAGTTCAGAAGCATATATAAAGATACAATATAAAAAGTGACCTGAAATAATTACAATATCAGAGCCCCAATTTTATATACACTGTCCTATTACACATCCCACCAAACTGCCAATATCCCAAACCCCTCCTTCAGAGTGCATTTCCAGAACTCGGGTCCGGCTATATAAAAATAACGGGTTTCCCTGAATCCCTTCACTAAATATTACCCTGCTTACACTCCAACAGCTCATCAGGTCCCAAAAACCATTCGTCTCCATTCACTCCTATCTAACACATTCATGCACACTTGCTGGAAGTCCAAGCCCCTCACCCACAAAACCTTTACCCACTCCCTCCAACCTTTTTGAGGATGACCCCTACCCCGCCTTCCTTTCCCTACAGATTTATATGCTCTCTATGTCATTCTACTTGAAATAAGTTAGACAGTCCTCGATGACGCACTGACTTTCTTGGGTTATCCTGGGTGGCTAACCCTCCGGGGTTAAAAATCCGAACAAAATCTTATCTTACTTTGATCCATTCTCTCTGAATGACCAAACCACCTCAACAACCCCTCTTCAGCCCTCTGACTAATACTTTTATTAACTCCACACCTTCTCCTAATTTCCACACTTCGAATTCTCTGCATAATATTTACACTACACATTTCTCTCTAAATATTGCTCTAATCTGCTTAAGACTGACATTCATAAGAAAAAATGAATACATTCTGAATGAAAGTGTATACACGGTAATTATGTTTTAATTCAGGCGTTATGTGCGAAAGTAGAAAAATGTGAATAATCAGTTACTTACTAAATGGTCTACTATGCATTACAACAACTGCAAACTTTAACAATATTCATGGTACAGTACATATATGAAAAATTGCAAACAGATATAATATTTGTATGAAGTGACTAAAATGCCGGGAGCAATGGGCTAGTAACCCCTTCTCCTGTAAACATTTACTAAAAAAGAGAAGAAGAAAAACTTTATAAAACTGAGATGCTTGAATGTGCGTGGATGTAGTGCAGATGACAAGAAACAGATGATTGCTGATGTTATGAATGAAAAGAAGTTGGATGTCCTGGCCCTAAGCGAAACAAAGCTGAAGGGGGTAGGGGAGTTTCGGTGGGGGGAAATAAATGGGATTAAATCTGGAGTATCTGAGAGAGTTAGAGCTAAGGAAGGGGTAGCAATAATATTGAAGGATCAGTTATGGAAGGAGAAAAGAGAATATGAATGTGTAAATTCATGGATTATGTGGATTAAAGTAAAGGTTGGATGCGAAAAGTGGGTCATAATAAGCATGTATGCATCTGGAGAAGAGAGGAATGTAGAGGAGAGAGAGAGATTTTGGAAGATGTTGAGTGAATGTATAGGAACCTTTGAACCAAGTGAGAGAGTAATTGTGGTAGGGGACCTGAATGCTAAAGTAGGAGAAACTTTGTCAAACCCTGTGTAAAAAAAAAAAAAAAAAAAAAAAAGAGGGTGTGGTAGGTAAGTTTGGGGTGCCAGGTGTAAATGATAATGGGAGCCCTTTGATTGAACTTTGTAGAGAAAGGGGTTTAGTTATAGGTAATACACATAAGAAGAAGAAAATTGTCAAAGTGGGAAGTCTGAATGTGCGTGGATGTTGTGCAAATGATAAGAAAGAGATGATTGTGGATGTTATGAATGAGAAGAAACTGGATGTCCTGGCTTTAAGTGAAACAAAGCTGAAGGGGGTGGGAGAGTTTCAATGGAGAGGAATAAATGGGATTAGGTCAGGGGTTTCAAATAGAGTTAGAGCTAAAGAAGGAGTAGCAATAATGTTGAAGGATAAGCTATGGCAGGAAAAGAGGGACTACAAATGTATAAATTCAAGGATTATGTGGAGTAAAATAAAGATTGGATGTGAAAAGTGGGTTATAGTAAGCATGTATGCACCTGGAGAAGAGAGAAGTGTAGAGGAGAGAGAGAGATTCTAGGAAATGTTGAGTGAATGCGTGGGGAGTTTTGAATCAAGTGTGAGAGTAATGGTGGTTGGGGATTTCAATGCTAAAGTGGGTAAAAATGTTATAGAGGGAGTAGTAGGTAAATTTGGGGTGCCAGGGGTAAATGTAAATGGGGAGCCTTTAATTGAGCTATGTGTAGAAAGAAATTTGGTAATAAGTAATACATATTTTATGAAAAAGGGGATAAATAAATATACAAGGTACGATGTAGCACGTAATGAAAGTAGTAGTTTGTTAGATTATGTATTGGTGGATAAAAGGTTGATGGGTAGGCTCCAGGATGTACATGTTTATAGAGGGGCAACTGATATATCGGATCATTATTTAGTTGTAGCTACAGTTAGAGTAAGAGGTAGATGGGAAAAGAGGAAGGTGGCAACAACAAGTAAGAGGGAGGTGAAAGTGTATAAACTAAGGGAGGAGGAAGTTCGGGCGAGATATAAGCGACTATGGCAGAAAGGTGGGCTAGTGCAGAGATGAGTAGTGGGGGGGTTGAAGAGGGTTGGAATAGTTTTAAAAATGCAGTATTAGAATGTGGGGCAGAAGTTTGTGGTTATAGGAGGGTGGGGCAGGAGGAAAGAGGAGTGATTGGTGGAATGATGAAGTAAAGGGTGTGATAAAAGAGAAAAAGGTAGCTTACGAGAGGTTTTTACAAAGCAGAAGTGTTATAAGAAGAGCAGAGTATATGGAGAGTAAAAGAAAGGTGAAGAGAGTGTTGAGAGAGTGCAAAAGGAGAGCAGATGATAGAGTGGGAGAGGCACTGTCAAGAAATTTTAATGAAAATAAGAAAAAATTTTGGAGTGAGTTAAACAAGTTAAGAAAGCCTAGGGAAAGTATGGATTTGTCAGTTAAAAACAGAGTAGGGGAGTTAGTAGATGGGGAGAGGGAGGTATTAGGTAGATGGCGAGAATATTTTGAGGAACTTTTAAATGTTAAGGAAGAAAGGGAGGTGGTAATTTCATGCACTGGCCAGGGAGGTATACCATCTTTTAGGAGTGAAGAAGAGCAGAATGTAAGTGTGGTGGAGGTACGTGAGGCATTACGTAGAATGAAAGGGGGTAAAGCAGCTGGAACTGATGGGATCATGACAGAAATGTTAAAAGCAGGGGGAGATATAGGGTTGGAGTGGTTGGTACTTTTGTTTAATAAATGTTTTTGAAGAGGGGAAACGGTACTAGGATTGGCGGGTGAGTGCATGTATAGTCCCTTATATAAAGGGAAAGGGGACAAAAGAGATTTGTAAAAAATTATAGAGGAATAAGTTGTACGAGTATACCAGGAAAAGTTTACGTTCAAGGGTTTAAATTGAAAGAAATAAGAGGTATAGACAGACTGTAGGATTGCGGTGAGCAGGGAGGCTTCAGAGTGGGTAGGGGGATGTGTAGATCAAGTGTTTTTAATTGAAGCATATATGTGACAGTATTTAGATAAAGGTAGGGATGTTTTCTATTGCTTTATGGACTTAGAAAAGGATATGATAGAGTTGGATAGAGGAGCAATGTGGCAGAGGTTGCTCTCAAGAGATAAAATGATGAAAAGATAAAACTATCGGATGCAGAATAGTTAACAGTCCACTTTTTACCAGTGATGATGAAACCAAACAAACGCTTTAAGAAAATTACTCTGCAGTCATTAAGGACCCAAACAAGTGTTATTGTACCAGAGTCAAAAATAAAGAAGCTCAGGTTACTAGGAATCCCATGGTAGAAAAGTGTTATGCTTAGATTCCACTCACATGACAGGAATAAGACTAATTATTGCATCTATTAAAGTAAAGTAAGAGGTATACATAAAACGAGTGTCTTGCCAAAAAAACGTCAGAACTCTTTATAGAGTCAGGAAACTTAAGCGGGAGAATAATGAAATAAACCATTGCTTTCACACGAGATGGGATAATTCTTTTGGAAAAACAAATGTATGTCAACTGTACACAATCACGAATGAGAATGATCTATCACGATTTATCAGGGATACTAATCTTACAGAGAATAACTAATCAATGTCCAACCTAAAAGCCTACGTAGTGTAGTGTATGGTTTTGTCCATTATTGTTCAAATTTCAATTGTACAATCTCTTAGCAGTAATTAATAATCAACTACTCATTTTGTGTTTCACTAGTAAAGCATAAGTACCTATGTAATTTTCTTATTTATATTGTTTGCTTAAACATTAGCTGGATTGATTTTCTTTCTCTGTCCCATAATTACTACCTCATATTTTTTTAAATACTATCAATTGATATTACTTACTTAAAATTAATAATATCATTTTACTTTTAATTTCATTTACTCTTAAACATTTTTGACATTTAATAACCATTACTTGTCTGATTTACTTTACCCTGTTTAATACCACATTTACTATCTTAGAGTTTACTTTACTTACCTTGTACTGCCAAATAACACTTTAGGATAAGTACCTGTGCAATATTGAATGTAATAAACATTACTTTTTTCACTTTTTTGTAATCATTATTATTACTAAAATTTTTATATTTAAATACCATATTTATTAACAGTCAATTTTAC